TGGCCAGCAAAGAGACATCAGAAGCACTGCAAATGCAGTGCTTCGTAAACAATGTTGAAAATGCACCCACAAACATTCGTAAAATGGGAAACCTTCCTATTCATTTTGAATGAATGGAAGCATTCTATGCTAAAAATTAAATGGTATGCTGCCATGATTGATTTATCATCAGTATTGTCCATTATGAATACGTATTATCCATTATGAATAACCTTGCTTGATTTACAATCGGAAAAAGTGTTGTTTGATGTTAATGCCGAGCGGTTCCATATGGAACCAAGCTATAATTTTTCATATACAACAAAAAATAAATATATGAACATATTTTTGGTTTATTACCATCACAAATGACAATATTCTCACAAGGAACCAAAAAAGAATTCAGTAAATAATTCTCGTCATTAATGGGTTAAGCTGTGTGCGTGATAATTTGCCTAACTTCACAACTTAGAATAAATTTTCACGCGAATCGTTTGAGGCATTGAGAAAAGTTGCTTCTGCCATCTGCATCTACAATAAGGATCATATTCAAAGGATAAGGGCATGAGAAGGTTTGAAGTGTTCAGTCAGTCTGTCGGTGACTCGGTGTTGACTGCAGAGCAGTCATAAAATTGAAATGAAATTGAAATCATACCAGACGGCAGACGGTCCACTGAGGTCCAGACAGTCTACACACATATAAACAGTTATGAGAATTGATCATTTTTTAAGATGTAAATTATATTTGGAATATTAGGTAGGTGGATCTTTCTTGAAATTGTGGGTAAAAATAATCATTTCACATGTGATTTTTTTTTAAAGTAGGTAGAAATAGGCCATTTTTCTTATTTTTTTTTACAGAAGAAATTTGGAAGAGGTGATAAATTAGAGAAAAAGGCTGTAGGTATCTGATAATCTGGCCCTCAACCAGTCAAATTCATAGGCATTTTTGTCTGATTCATGGGTGGCCTCTGCCCAATTTTCCACTTTGGACTTCATGGGTTTCTTCTGCCCAGTTTTCCCACTCTGGATATAAAACACTTCCTCATCTAAAATCAAATATAAGGCTTATAGCCTACATCATTGTATCAATTATTTTTATGAGCGTTTCTTCCAAACTTGAAAATCTGGCAAAAATCTGAAAATATAGCAAATGAGACAAATATATCCATGCATGACTAAATTTTTACTTGTTACAATGGCAAACAATTTTTTCTAATATTTCAGATTGGTATCCATTCTGTAAAACTGGGTAGCAGCCACCTGTGAATCAACTTGAATGAGATGAAAATGTTTGTGTTCAGGTACATTTGCAATAGCACCTTGCAAGTAGTTGCAACCAAGCATGGAATAGTTCTACCATTATGGCTGCAACTAGATCTTTCCTGTCATTTCCGTAACCGTGCAATTTCCGCCAGATGAATTAACTCCTATCTAATTGTTAACAAAAATGCAGGATCCGGCTGCGAGATTCCAAATGTATTGAAAATTTGTCTCGTTGGAGCCGCAAGATTTCAGAAAGAAGTAGGAAAATTCCAATCCTGGTTGCAACTTTTGCCAGTTTTGCTCTTACCAAGAGTCATATTGCCATTATAAAATATCAAAGAGTCCTGATCATGGTGTTTATATATATGCACCAGAATATAAAATGAAATCAATCTATACTCAGTACAAAATCATTGAAAGTTCATTTATTAGTAATTAGCTATTATATACATAAAATTCAATGTAATATTCACTATTTTTTCTTGTGTTTTTTTTTCAGATTTTTCATCTACATTAATTTGAGCTATCCTTCATTTGATGCAAGAATGTGCCTGCTCTGTAAAATATTCAGACAAAGCTCCCTCACAGATCTACTTTCATGCCAGAACAATTCCTCCTCCCCATTTTATGATTAAAACTTGTGCATCAAATGTGGTTCTTAATGACTTAGGTGTTCCAGTGAATATGAGGCTGAAAGAGGCCAAATATTTGTGATATGAAAGTGCATAAAAGACTTTAAACATAAAATTGTACAGATAGTGCTTTAGTACAAATTTTTTGTAAGAACAAGACAAAGCCATACACTATAAAATTTTCTGACATGCATTCTTACTGTTGTGTTGGAGAACATTTATTTATAAATGTGTTGCTTTTGTTATAAACTTCATTGTTTATACAATAATTTTTAAAGAGTTATTGAAGTTTTATGTGTGCTTCTAGTCAATCTCTCAACATGGAGTCTCAGAAGACACAAGCTTCCTCATTTAAGAATTCAGGTTTCCAAGATACTACAAGATTATTAAGCAGCAACTCGTCCAGTAAGGAAGCTCCTGCAATCCCTGCACTTTCTGATATGCAATCAATTATAGGAACATCTTGCTCCTCAACCCCAGATGATGAGAGTCAAAAAGGATTTGAGACATTAAAAAATGTCCCTGAACATGAAACCACCTTGCAAAGAAGAGAAATGTTGACTCCTTCTCCTGGATTGGCAATTTTTTCTGCACGTATTGTCACATTAGACTTCTACAGTGCCTTCCCCATTGAGGGGTTTGACCCTCTGATCTCATCTTTCCGAGGCTCTACCATCACAAAAGTTCCTGTCCTTCGACTCTTTGGTCCAACTCCTGTTGGTGAGTTATATGGTTGATAATCAGCATAATAAAAAATTGGGCCCCACAGGTCAGGTGCTCCATTCAAAATTGAAAAAAAATGCTTCATGATGAACTTGCAAAGCAATATCTGCTTGCACTATGAAACAAACAAACATTAAATTGTCAGTGTCACAATGACAAAGTTCCAATCTAATGAATCTAATATTCTGATTGAATTTGAACTTGTAAAAGATTCCAAATGATTAAAATTGTGAGTTTTTGTGCAGATTATTCTGTTATGGTTAATTTATGACCATTTAATATGGTTATTGAAATTGATATATGTAAATGTTGAATGTTTTTTACTGCTTTGCTAAGAAATGCATTGATAATATTCTTCTGGTATTTGTACAAAAAAAGCTTCTTTGGCAACAATCATGCACAGAACTTCTTGAATTTTCTTCCAAGATAGAGACACAGATGTGAGGAACAGCTTGCTGGCTGTGTGTGAAGAAGCTGTAGGATTGTTAAGATTTTTCAGCTTTGAGAATAAGACTAATGTGATGAATATATGTATTTCTTGTTGAACTTATTCATGCTCTGTCCTATTTGTGTTTGCCTTGATCAAGATTTCATGGGAAAAACAATCAGCCAATCACCAATTATTTTTAGCGCATTTTCTCATTTATGGAAAAAATGCACTATTGTGCTTGCCATGTCCATCCGTCCATCTGTCTGTCTGTCTGTGACTTCACATTTTTGTCAACAAGAAAATGCGCTCTCTGTCACTCACTGCAGTGAGTACTGAGTTATATTTTTTACAAATTTTATTGTCGGAGGTCTTCTTTTATTTGGGTGTTTTTCTTTCAAATGATTTGTACTTATTCTTGTGTTGGATTCTAATTAAAGTAAAAAAAAAGTAAAAGCTAATATTTTACAAAGTAAGCTAATATTTTACCACAATTGATTGAACCTTGCACACTCCAAACCAATGACATAATCACTTGTATTAGTCTTTATATCTCATTATTTTAACCTGCCTTACAGGTCAGAACTGTTGTGTACACATTCATGGTGTGTTCCCATACATTCTTCTGCCGTTCAAAGAGTTGCTGCCTCTTCACCGTCTTGCTCTTGCCTTGGACCGAGCAATAAACGTTTCTTTGGGCCGCACGGCTTCTACAACTCAACATGTGTATTCAATTGAGCATGTTTCTGGCAGGTAAAAAATTTGTTATTCCAGGGAATGATAACGATAGTTTCAATGTTATTTGACTGTCAAACAATGTGTAGGTATTTATAAAAAAATAGTCCATTATTGGAAATATCCTTGAATTGAGGCCCAATTTTTTTTTCGTATGGCCCCTCGTACTATAATTATACCACTACATATATCATAATGCTAAATTGAGGCCCCTCATACTTTACTTTGGCTAGGAGAGAGTTTGTTTACTCTTAAAACTCCTGATAATTTTGTCATTCAGCACATTATTATTTTTAACAAATAACCAATGTAAGCTTTCTCTTCTCTCTCCATTACATATATAGGCCCCTGTATGGTTATCACAGCAAGGAGCAGCAATTCATGAAAGTCTACTTCTACAACCCGCTTATTGTTAGAAAAGCTGTTGAATTACTTCAGGTGTGTATAGTTCTTTGTCCTCTTCAGCAGGAGGCTTCAGTTTGAATAATAATCATAATAATAAACTCAAGCTTATATTTAACTTCAATACAATTTTCATGGGATTATTGCATATAGTCTATGATTTTATATGTTTTGTCTTGTGAATGAATCACAAAAATTATTCTTATTATTCATTCATTCTTGTGTGCATTTACTTGAAAAAATTAAGAATTCTCTATGAATCAATGAAAAATATACATAATTTTACTTCTCAAAAATGTGTCCAATCCTAAAATTTTATTTTTACCAGCTAATATTTTTTTCAGTCGGGGTGCGTTTTGAGTGAGATATTCCAGCCCCATGAAAGCCACGTGCCTTACCAGTTGCAGTTCTTGATGGACTATAACTTGCATGGCATGAATATCATGCACTGCACTGCACCGCGCTTCAGTTGGGGTTTTTCTGTTAGTTTTTGTTGTTTCTTTTTGTTCTTTTTGCTTTGTTTTTTCATTTAGTTTTTTTTTGTTGCTTCTTATGTTCTCTGTTGTGGCGATTGTTGGCTTGTGCTTTCTGTATTTTTTTTTGCCCTGGTTTTTTTTTTATTTTTTTTTGTATTGTTCTTTATTTTTCTTTTTTTGCCTTTCTGTTGCATCAGTTTGGTGGTGTCGGTTTCTTGTGGTCTATTTTTTCTTTTTTAAATTTTTAAATATGAATTAATAAGTCTTATTCTATCCTTCATATTTTCTTATGCGGGTTCTCTTATTTTTAGCATGATTTTGTCATGATTATATTTCTAAAATTATATCTTTTGTCCCCAGGCCCTGCAGTTGGTGTTGTTGCCGGTGATCAATGTCAGTCTTCCATGCAGAAAGTATACAAGGTACAGCCTCCTTCTGCTACCCCTCCTGTCATCCTCACTGCATCCCAACAGGTTAGAACTTCTAAGCCTAAGCAATTTAACATAATTCAGTTTGTCTGTTTTGATTCAATATCTCTCTCAGTTTCTAATTAATTAATTAAACTACCGTATGTGGATGCTCAGACTTTTGAACCTAATTGTTTGTAGTGAGTTCATAATTAGTCAATCATTTGGCTCAGGAGAAGTACCTATCCTCAATGCATTATGTATAAGCTCAGATGGCATATCCTTTTTTTGTGCTCAGATGGCATATTCTCTTTTTGTGGAGAAAAACAAATAAAAAATGAATAAAGCGATATTATTTTGCAAAACTTATATAAGCTTACCAGACCTCCATTGATTTTATGGACCATGGCAGAAAAACATTGCACATCATCTGGTTAGATTCATTAACTGCATGCAGGGGTGGAATTCTAGAGGGGTATTAAATTAACGAGGACATATAGCATATTTGACGCAATCAATTACAGTCTGGGGAGGATGATATCACAATTAAATAACTAACCAAAGTTTGGAGATGTATGTGCATCTACCCAAAAATGACAAACTTTATACAATATCCTAAAATTTTTGCCTGACTGCACGATTATCTTCTGATCTTACGGTCATATAAATATTGTTTTGTGAATTTTTCAATGTATGGCATGGTCATTTCCATTGTTTACCTCTATGCGGAAAAGTTAAATCTGTACTAGATCTTTTAAATTTTTTCTCGATTATGATTTGAAAAGAGTGTCATTCTAAATCCCACAGTCATTTATTTAAAATCTGTGATAAAATAACGTGTTCCAGGTTTCGAAAGTGTTCTGGGACTCTGAAAGTATAGAGCAACTGGCAAGTTATATGCCTGAGACCGCTGCCCGCATCTCCACCTGTGAGCTGGAGCTCGATATCTGCGCTGAAGACATACTCAACACGCTGCACCTTGCTGGTCAGTGTAACACCTACCAATAAGCAGGAGCCGAACTATTATTGATAGTTATGAGTTTGTAATTCTGTCTGCCAATAATTGAGGGCTTTTTTAGCTAAACCCACCAATCACAGTTGAGAAACTGGCTGCTACTTGTACAAATGGACTATAACTTGCATGGCATGAATATCATGCACTGCACTGCACCGCGCTTCAGACAAGGTATTTCAGTGACAAACTCATGATTCTTACACTAATTTCAACTATGTTTTTGAACTTAGTTTTTTAGTTACCATATTTTCCTGAAACTGACTTGGGATTAGTATAGTAGTTTTTGTGCTAACTTTTTGTTCAGTTTGACTTGTCTTATCACTTAATCATCTTTTAATGCTTAAAATGTTCTCTGTTGCGTACAAACGTCCTCAAGTTGCTGCACTCAATAGTTTACGTATAATTTAAGTTGGAAGTTATGTTCCCGGAGAGTGACATACGGCGGTAGAGTGTTAACTTATTGTGCTTGAAGGTTTAATTTATTTATTTATTTCAACAGGAGGTGTGTCGAGCAACCCCGGTCTTGCCTATATTTGGGAGGACGAGCTAGAGCGCCGTCAGCAGCAACATCGTCTCAAGCGGCAAAGACCTCCCGACAAAGAGGACTTATCTTCTGCTACTGAAGAGGATTCATCTCCACCTCCACGTTCTGTGGCTGACCTGCTCCCTCCTGACTCCCCTCCTCGTCTTGGAGTTTTGTCAACGTCTTCTGAATTGCACTTCAGGAATCTCCTTAAAGTTCGCCTCCAGCAGAACCAGGTTAGTCTAATTCTTTTTAGCGCATTTTCTCATTTACGAAAAAAATGCACTATTGTACTCGCCATATCCGTCCGTCTGTCTGTCCGTCCGTGACCAAGTTTTCGTCGACGAGAAAATGCGCTCTCTTGTCACTCACTGCAGTGAGTACTGAGTTATATTTTTTTCTCTTCGGCGTGACATTTCATTTTGATCAAAATTTACTTCCCTATTTTTGACCTGTTGACCATTCGGTTCTTCATTAGGCCAAACAATGAAAATTTATTTCGGAAATGACGTCAGCCTCGTGTATATATTGAAATTTATTCAATTAAGCCGACCTTTAAATATTGATCCAATCGAGCTTCAGTTAGGATCAAACTTGTGTAATGTCGTGCGCTCAGAGCACTTGCTTGTTTTAAAGTGAATAGGTACTCTCGTGTATCAAATTGAATACTCTCGTGTATCAAATTGAATACTCTCGTGTATCAAATTGAATACTCTCGTGTATCAAATTGAATACTCTCGTGTATCAAATTGAATACCCTCGTTTATGAAATTGAATCCTATCATTTATACAAATTGAAAACTCTTGTGAATCAAATTGAATACCATCCTGTATAAAATTGAATAATCTGTTGTATTAAGTTTGATACGCTCTTGTACTAAATTTGATGCGCCCATGTACTAAATTCAACGCACTCTTGCCTCGAATTTGATTCGCTCTTGTACTAACTGATGCGCCCTTGTAATAAATTTAATCTACTTTTGCCTCGAACTTGATACGCTCTTGTATAAAATTCTAAACGCGCTCGTACTAAAGAAGGCATATAGAGCGTACTAAAGACGATATATAATTTCAGACGAGTGCAGCCACTCACGAGCTTGTGTCTGACGAGACCTCCTGCCAGCTGCGCCCTGCCACTCTGCCTCAGCTGCCCTCCAGGCTCCTCCCGCCCTCGCAGACACCCGTAATTATGTTCCTATATTATATTGTTATTATTTTTAAATTGTATTGTTATTATTTTTAAATTATATTGTTATTAATATTAAATTATATTGTTATTATTCTTAAATTGTATTGTTATTATTTTTAAATAATATTGTTATTATTTTTGAATTGTACTGTTATTATTTTTAAATTATATTGTTATTACTTTTTAATTATATTCTTATTATTTTCAAATTGTATTATTATTATTTTTAAGTTATATTGTTATTATTTTTAAATTATATTGTTATTATTTTTTAATTGTATTGTTATTATTTTTAAATTATATTGTTATTATTTTTTAATTATATTGTTATTATTTTTGAATTGTATTGTTATTATTTTTGAATTGTACTGTTATTATTTTTAAATTATATTGTTATTATTTTTGAATTGTATTGTTATTATTTTTAAATNTGAGGAGAGCAGCAGTGCACATTGTTGTGCACCTGTCTCTTATACACATCTAGATGTGTATAAGAGACAGGGACAAGCCAGATCACTCAGATGCAAACGTACACCAAGGCAAGCCAGATGCGGACGTACGGTACGTCAGGACAAGCCAGATCACCCAGATGCAAACGTACACCAAGGCAAGCCAGATGCGGACGTACGGTACGTCAGGACAAGCCAGATCGCCCAGATGCAGACGTACATCGACGTCGAGACAAGCCAGATACGGACGTACGCCGGGCGTGTGCGCCAATAATGTTATTTTAGCTCTTTGTACGCCGTGTTGTACGCCAGTAGAAGGGCTTGGAGCCTTGTTTACGCCGGATTAATCCGCGGAAAACGGCACCATCCTGGGTATGGCTTATAAATAACCAACGTTTTCTAAAAGACACAAGACGTTCGAAAACTCGCCATGAGAGACAAAATCATTCAGGATTTGAAGTGAAGTTATTAAGACAAATTTGACATTATAGGGTGAAAACAAGAATAAATTCGTATTTAGAAGCGTATCAATTGGTGTTTAAATTTTGAAACAATTTTCCATCATTTAAATGTCTCTGTGAAATGTGGATCAAATCTATTTATTATGAAATTGAACTTTACAAGACCAAAACAAGGTATCTAACACCGTCTAGTCTAATGTCAACAGTCAACACAATGTTGCCATATGCCGTGAAAGATTAGCAGTGTAAGGATTTAGTCATTTATACTACAAAATAGCGGTTATCCCGTCATTACGGATATAAGTTTATTGCGGACCGGAACTTACTAGGGACGAGTTATTTTAGATATTAGGGTTGTTGACTTTACGATCTCATCCTTGGCAGAAGTCTCCTTCTGATCCATATATCATTTGTACATACTGATTGCTGCTGTAATAAAGATAATGTGGGAACTCGTGATCTATCTCCTGTGACGTGTCAAAGCTGATGTAGAGAACCCAAGCAAATTACCGGTACTACAAGCAGTTTATCCCATCATTCCGTGTGGATTCGAGAACTTTGTTGGTATTGGTGAAATCGTGAGAATTGTCTGCGAAAGTTTACGTAATTTTTATTTTTATTTTGGAACATATTCATTACAAAATTTGTTGATACGGATACACGACTAGTGTATGTATTGAAGGGAAGAGTCACCGACTTTTTATCGGTTTTTGAACCACACGCAAGTGAGTTAAAGGAAGTGCAGCTGACCGGGTGTCCGCAGTTTCTGACGAGCTCAGTGTAAGAGTATCAATTGTCACTTTGGTGGAAGGTGTAAGGTGGTAAATTTTTTGATACATTTTCTTTTGTTAACATGATAATATATTACCTATACAGAATTCCATACTGCCACTGGATCCTGACTAAGCTGTGTCCGTGATAATTTGCCTAACTTCACAACTTGAAATAAATTTTCACGTGAATCGTTTGAGGCATTGAGAAAATGTGCTTCTGCCAGCTACAATAAGGATCATATTCAAAGGATAAGGGCATGAGAAGGTTTGAAGTGTTCAGTCGGTGTAGACCGCAGAGCAGTCATAAAATTGAAATAAAATTGAAACGATACCAGGCGGTCCACTGAGGTCCAGACTCACAGTCTATACACATATAAATAGATATGAGAATTGATCATTTTTTTAAGATGTAAATTATATTTGGAATATTAGGTAGGTGGAATTTTCTTAAAATTGTGGGTAAAAATGATCATTTCACAGGTGATTTTTTTAAAGTAGGTAGAAATAAGCTATTTTTCTTATTTTTTTACAGAAGAAATTTAGAAGAGGTGATAAATTAGAGAAAAAGGCTGTA